GGAGCGCAGCAGGCGACGCCAAACTAGGATACGAACGGCGCTAGTGTCGGCGATACCCAATTGAAGCCATCTAGTTTCAAAGCAGTGCTTTTGCCCCGAAGTGTTTTCGCCAGTAATTATGTATTAACCTATGCAATTTGTTCATCATTTTGGTGTTTGGGTACGTTTTGAAAGAATTGTTGTACTGTTTAAGGGCGAAAGTTTGGGACCGAGGCGCAAGGTTTCCCAAAGCTCCGCTGCCTTGTGGATAGTTAACCCTTTTTTGTACTCATGAAAAATAACAAATCGGTATGGAGGGTTTATGAGGCTCCCACCGTTTCTCACACCCGCCTCTGTCCAAAATACGGGTCCAGCTTTACTGAAAAGTTTCTCGGCAATCCATACGTGCACGAAATGGGCAATTCAATTCAAAATTGTGAAATACTGTATCGTGTGCAGATAACAATTTCTCATCGTGTATAATCGCCCGCCCTCCCCTCCCCCCCCCCCCCCAACACCTCCTTTCCGTCTTCACAACGAAGAAGCTCGGCTTGATATCTGTGTGTTTTAGACTTATTTTGCTTTTGGAGGCTTATTTTGTTGTGCGGTTTTTACGCTATGATGTTTTATTTAGCAAAATTTTCTACAGGAACGGGAAAAGCTACAGTCATGAACAAAACAATGCAAAAATGGTGCAATTTTCGCGCGTAGGGATCACCAAATTTGAAAAAGTGTTGTAATCTCCAGCTATCTCGCGATTTTTAAACTTACGGCCTGTGCACTTTGTAAAGTGGACTCACTCCACTTCCAGGGCCACATTTCAACGCATGATAATTACCCCCACCACCGTCGGAATGTAATTCCATTCAAATTATGGCAGCATCGATAGTTTGTGCCACTACTGGCATCATCATGCCTTCGTGCAGGGAATACATTTAAGGTGGGCTATGTCACGCACACACAGTGGCCCAGGTCGTCACGCGCGGGCAATGGACCAGGTCATTACCGAAGGCATCATGCAATCGGATGAGATTGGAACCAAAACACCATCAAATTCTCCGGTCTGTTTTACGCATGCCACGACGTCTATTAGTTGTAAGATCGAAATGCAACTTGAATAGTGCTTTTGAGCAAGCTCTTGCCCATTGTGGTGCGGTTGCTGATTGGCTGGAGTGGTGGAAAAGGCGTTTTTCAGCTGAGAGGGCTTTCGCCTTACAATCGCCAGGTGCGGGTTCGACCCTGGCTTTCGGCGAAATATTTCATGGCCCACCGCGGAAATCAACGCAACAGCTACATCACAGCAGCAAGGTTGGCTGCTGCGGGGATGCGGGAGTTGCAACGCTCTTTCTACCATTCCTAGTGTTCGAGGACACATGTACGGTTCATAAGTATAGGTCAGTAGCTTGAAGCTTTTGCAATATTTTGATATCATGCAATCGAAACAAAAAAGAGGTAATGCCTACAGCTGACAACAAACGTCATGCCCATGACTGCCCCCACGTGGCCACCTGCCGGACACCACGGCCGCTGGTTTGGTACTGACGCAGGCCGAGACGCTGCCGTGCGGCGGACGTTATGCCCCACGTGGCCACGTGCTGGACACCACGGCCGCTGGTCTGACGCTGACGCAGGCCGAGACGCGGCCGTGCGGCGGACGTTATGCCCCACGTGGCCACGTGCCGGACACCACGGCCGCTGGTCTGACGCTGACGCAGGCCGAGACGCGGCCGTGCGGCGGACGTTATGCCCCGCGTGGCCACATGCCGGACACCACGGCCGCTGGTTTGGCGCTGACGCAGGCCGAGACGCGGCCGTACGACGGACGTTATGCCCCACGTGGCCACGTGCCGGACACCACGGCCGCTGGTCTGACGCTGACGCAGGCCGAGACGCGGCCGTACGACGGACGTTACAAATGCTCTGCTGCTTACGGTGATGACGTAAGGTCCCGAAACAGAGTAGTGAAACATGTTATTGTGTTCCGCTCTGGGTTGGGGTCATGTCAGTTTCAACATTATGATTTGAATCACGTGGGCATACACACTCGAATGTTCGCTTTGGATTTAGAATAAGCCTTAAGGCTCATTCTAAATCCAAAGCAATTATTTTTTTTTAAATGTGTCGGACATTTGTTCGTCAAAAAATGTACGGCACAAAATGTGGCGTTTCGTGGCAACAAGAAGCTACCTTAAGTTTGCCGCACAAATTTTGGCGCTGACGCACGTCAGAGACGAAATTACTTATGCCTACCTGAAACGGGGATTTCCGCATTACTTGTTATATGAGATCAACGGAGGGACACAAAACGAAATAAACTGGATTTAGCCCACGCGGACGGTAATATTGGTTTTGGTACTTTGAACGCTTTTGAGATGAATTGGTAAATCACATGTGCAGGATTACGGTCACGCGTATGCGTACGAAGCGTTACAGGCGCGCGCCTAATTTTTTTTTCTCGATAAGAGCACAATGTTCTGACTCACCTGTTCATGAGCAGGGGTTCGCTGCGAATTTCTTTTACGAACTGCTGCTAACCAATGTCGTTTAAGTCTCCTAAGTGATGTCGAGTGAAATCTTCTTTCTACAGAAATAAAAAGGCGAAGATGGATCTTGTCGCCTTAGTTACCAAAAACTGTTAAGCTTTTCACCTTATCTGATTATACGGTGTCTATGTATGATGCCATCTTTGTTATGTTTTACTTAGCTATCGTGTATCTATCATTATGATATGTTATTTTTAGTCTTGGTAATACATTCATCGTCCCGCTGCTTGTGGTTTGCCCACACTGTCATCGTTGTTGGCTCGCAATAAAAGTCGATAGATCTTGTTCAAGGTTTTCGTTATCGCGAAGGCGTCTTACGTCCTGAGCGTCCTTCGTTTTCCCTATTGTGTTAGCATTGTTTGGCCAGTGTTCTTCAATGCTATCGTATCTTATGTTTCAGCTGTCATCAGAACTCCTTCCATTCGACCTCAAGCACGCGTTCTCATAAGCCCTCTTCCACACGCTTCCCCCAGTTAACAGCAGGTGGCGCCGCTTTTCACCGTGGGTGCAACATGAAATGTTGAGCTTTGACAGGATTTCCAATTTTCTTGATCGGGTCATTTAGTCAGTACTTCCTGGTCCTGGTATATTGAATTTGATTATGGTCAGCACAAGAACTGTAAAATCACAAAGCCGAATCATCAGGGGCTCAAGACATTTCTTGCTCATGTGAAGTATGGCGTCCAGACAGTCAGGACACGCGTCTTTCTTTTTTTAAGTGCATTCCGAGTGGTTTGCTTGGATAGCCTTGAGTCCAGAACACTATAAAGCAAAGCCTGTTCCTTGTTCCCTGAAGCCACCATCCAAGTTGTGCCGTCCTGTTCAACCAATAACCTCCCTTCATCTTTTCGCCAGACAGACCTGCCGAGCGCGCACGTGCCGTACAGCGCCGCGGCCCGGTCCTGGGGCCCAGTTTAGCCTGTTGGCCTGCTGCCAGCTGACCTTCCCATGTCAGCCGGGAAGGGCAATGAGCCCGTCTTGGGACGCGCACCCAGTGCCCAGTGATAACGGTCAAACCCGCCTACCCGGTGATAATGGGCCGGTTAATTAGACAATATCCCGCTCCAATACAACGGAGATGGCAAAACCATCGTCATTTCCCTGCGTTTTTTTATAGCATGAATGGTTAGCTCCCGTGAACAGTGTGGTCATGAAGTACGCTACCTCCTGTCCGCATGTCTTTGGTGCGATGCAGCGAAGTTGCTGCATTACAGTTTGGCGGGCAGGCCCAGGAAAAGGACTCGCATCATTTGTGTGAAATGAGCGGTGCGCACACAAATTGAATGCATCCTGCTACGACGGTGTAGCACTTCGCTGCGTGTCTCTGGACCTGAGCCTAGTATTTGGAGGATGGGTGCTGTATGACGAGGATTGGTCTCTACGAAAACGTCGATGAGATGGGCATGAAGATAAATGTGTTTTTCCTAAAGCTGAAATTACCAAATTTGTCTTGTTTTTCATGTTTGTGCGATTTGTTAAGTTGTCTCCCTTTCGAGACATCATTACAAAATGAGGGATCTCTTGCCTTCCAACTAGAGGCAAATTCGGTATCGTACCACTCTCCATGTCGATGCCAGACGATTCCCAATAGCTGTTTTTCAACAACCGTAACAAAGAGGTGAGAATTAGAACCTAGCATTTACCTCTCCAACCTTTGAAGAAAGGTTTAGAGGCTCCCTCGTACATGGTGAAAGGTTACTTAAGAAACTGCTGAGTTCACTGCCCACCGGTCGGCAGTTTCTGTGCAAATGTTATGATATGATATTTACCCTTGTGCCACGTCTTCCTTACCTACTTTTATTTGGGAGCTCAAGGAAAAACTGCTAACTTTGCATACCTATTTCCTATGCTTTTGCTTAGCTATTGCTCACAGTTTACAGAAAAAACACAAGTTGTCGGGAGTCTGGCTCTTTGACCCGCGTTTGTATTGCAGGTAGCTCTTTTACAATAAGATCGGATGTAAACAATCCCACCAAGCCCTTATTACGCAGCACCGCGCAAAATCTTACCGAGCTGTCAAATCTGCGCCTCAAATTTCAGGCCTCTCCTGTGTGCCGCATCACGCCGTCAATTGCTATCTGTCCCTCCCTCTCCACCCCTTCCGCCGCGTCGGTCCTCCCACGCTGTCGCATCCCGCTGAGCGTGGGCCGCGTGTCTATTGATCGCCGGCTGGAGCCTCCCGCGGGGCCGTCCGGCTGCCGCGCAGCTGCCCCAGGCCGCAGCAGTGCGCGATACGACAGCAAAAACTATTTATCCGCCGAGGTTCGCCAGGCCAAACGGCGACCAAACAGGCCAGCTGATTGGTTGTTTGCACACCGCATGGGCGGGGCCAGCGGGCCGGCGGGTGGCCGCGCTCCGCCAATCAGCGGCGAGCAGCGCCATCATTGGGGCGGGCCACTGCGGGAAAATATTTGCGGCCCGGGAGCGTGCCAGAGATACCAACAAGGCGGCTGGATTTGTCAGTTTGCGGTCCCGTGCGAGCCGGGCCGGAGCGCTCTCGTTGTTGTGCAGTGACGGCACCGGCCTCGCCAGCTCGTCGGAGCCAGCGCACCTCACGCCACGGCACCACAGCCGAACCCAACGCGGCCATTCCGGCCCGCCATGGAGCCTCTGAGCGACGCGGGCGCCGATCTGTCGCACCGCATGGCCGTGGTGCCCACTAGCCTGCACGAGGCGGTGCGTGCCGGCTGCGGGCCGGACCTGCCGCCCAGCTCGCTGGCGGGCCCTCTGGGCGGCGCTGCGCCCCTCCTCTTCAGCCCCATCAAGTTCGGCGTGCCCGGCCTGGACCAGCTGCCGCTGCCGCCGCCGCAGCTGCACCAGCTGCAGCTGCAGCAGCAGCTGTACTCGTACGCACTGCAGCAGATGCAGCAGGCGCGGCAGCAGTCGGCGGGGCTGCCGCCGCCCTGGGCCGTGCCCTACCCATACAAGCTGCTGGACCCGCGGCTGGCGGCGCTCTGCCGCCCGCCCGAAGAGCCCAAGCCGCAGCACTCGTACATCGGCCTGATTGCCATGGCCATCCTCAGCCACGCCGACCGCAAGCTGGTGCTGAGCGACATCTACCAGTACATCCTGGACAACTACAGCTACTTCCGCAACCGCGGCACCGGCTGGCGCAACAGCATCCGCCACAACCTCTCGCTCAACGACTGCTTCATCAAGGCCGGCCGCTCGCCCAACGGCAAGGGCCACTACTGGGCAATCCACCCGGCCAACGTCGACGACTTCCGCAAGGGCGACTTCCGGCGGCGCAAGGCGCAGCGGCGTGTCCGCAAGCACATGGGCCTGACGGTGGACGAGGAGGACTCGCTGTCGCCGCCGCCGCCGCCGGCGCCGGCCTGGGCCGGCCTACCGGCGGCCGCCGCCGCCCCACCGCGCCGCCGCCAGTTCGACGTGGCCTCGCTGCTGGCGCCCGACGAGCCGCTGACCCGGCTCGAGCCGGCCGACGACGAGCTCGACGTCGTCAACGGCGGCGACGGCTCGCGCTCGCCGCCGCCGCCGCTGCCGCCTCCGGCGTCGGCAGACGACGGGCGGGACGAGCGGCGGGACGAGCCGGACGAGCGGCGAGGTGAGCGGGACTCGGTGCCGCTCAGCTTCGCCGGCTTCCGGGCCGCGGACACGCCTCGCTCGCCCTAGACGACCCGCGGCTGCCGGCGCCGAGCCAGGCCGACCCGGTTCGCCCTGGGCTGACCCGGACCGCCCTGGGCTGACCCGGACCGCCCTGGGCTGACCCAAACCGCCCTGGGCTGACCCGGACCGCCCCGGGCTGACCCGGACCGCCCTGTCTCAGCGGGGAGAGAGGCGCCGGGACGGACGCGGCGAGACCGGCGCCGAGACGCGGCCGGACGGCCGGCACCGCGGCGCACGTACCTGGCCGCCAGGAAAGGTCAGGCGAATCGCGTGTCCAAGCTGTGGATCGGGTCATAGGGGTCGCGGCCCTGGCGCCGCGGGCGTCCGTGCTCAGACCGGCGCGCTAGGGCCTCTGGTCTGGACCTCGCCCCGTGTCACGGATGGTGACGCGCCGGCTCAGCGCGTGCAGGAGACTGACACGGTGTCATGACGGCGGCACGGTGTCACGTCATGACACTCGTGCAGCTGTCGGGCTCGTCATCCAAAGATGTCTGTGCCGTGGATCGGGTATATGAGCATGTTGGGCTGTGCTTGCTTCGGCCAGGCCCTGAGCCCGTAGTCAATGTCAGAATCTAGCCGCAAATGTCTATGTGTGTAAATAGCTTAAGATTTACGGTATTTATTTCGGTCCTCGGACACGCGAGCTTGTTGTCATGAGGGAGAGCCCGCTGGACCGCGCGTTGTTCTGCACATAGCGGGTATGCAATGAGGTAGTTGGCAGGTTAACTGCAATATAAATATTGCTGATGATTTGCCGGGTGGCTTCAAGACCACGCCTTCTGTGTACCTATACTCGCACAATTGTTTTAAAAGAAATTAGGAATATATGGTGCTCGGTTGATGCTTTGTTTTCAATGGCTGACAGTTTGTGCGAGTGGTGTTGCTAAAATCGTTGAATTTTGACGCACGTACGAGATTCTGGGTGTTTTCATGATGCGATTGTACAATGCATCTGGATATCTTTTACTTGCTTGCTCAGTGAGATGAAATCACAAGGAGATTACCTTTTGTCCAAGGTTCCAGGTGAAACGATAATGCTCGAAACGGAGTTACTCGTGAACAAGTTGTAAAATACACAATGAGTATACATATGTGCAACCATTACCTTGTGAGCGGTATTGGCGGCTTATCACGTATGGCATAAAATAGGGACGAAAAGGGTGTTATTGATGTTATGTATCTGTCATTTTTGGAAAGATAGGAATGTATTCAGTGGTTCAGTAGTAGCGATCCCATGCAACATCACGACCATCATACCCTCAAGCTTGGGCCCGTGCGAGCAGAAGCAGCTTTCCGAAGGGGCAAGTATTTGTTGTTCACTTACCATAGCAGGCACATAATGTAAGTCACATGCCTTGCCATGAAGCATTACTTCGTCTGCATTGCCCTGCACACGCTATGTTAAGAGCATACAGACACTTGAGCCGGTACTAGTACTGGCGCTTCAATTCAAGTTACATTCGTAGGGGTCTTAGCGTGCCTTCAAGCGACTTACGCGCAGATTTTGTTTGATTAGCGGCCTCGACAATCGCATGTGGCGAAAACCCGAAGCAGAAGTGGATTGGTCCGTGATTTCCCTTCTCGACGTTTCGCCTGGTAATGTAATGCACTCCGCCGTGAGCCACCTCACATGCAAAGCGAAAACAGACTCAGAAGGTGCCAACTTGCACTGTTACACAATGCCCTGCCTGTGATATTACGTAACGACATTTTCCCAGCCAGAAGAGGCATGGGATGCAATGTGGTATATTTAATCGCGTGACTGCGCTGGGCGATACACAACACATACCTCAGACGCGTCAATGCTTGCGAGCGCTGCTGTAGACCAAGTGAGACGTGCATGAGCTGTGAGACGCAAGTGATTAGCTGAACCAGCCCAGCCGCCATGCTCTTTACCAGGCGATAGCCTCGGAGCCACCGATCGCGAGCCTCATGCGGGTCAGCAGTAAGCAGCGCATTGCTTTAAAAGTTGCGCGGTTTAAACGCACGAGAACGCAAACCATGGATCAACCAGCTGTGGAGGTATTTGTTGGCATCAGATCTCAACTGGAGACATAGACCAGAAAGACTGGAAATCGGTTGCGCACTGTCGGCGAACATGCCGCCTACAAACGAGGCGGGTAGGTCAGTGTCGCCGGATCCTTAGGAACGCCGGCGATAGGACTGGAATCGGCGATATCACGCTCAAAAATGCTGGCCTCGAAGAGCAGCCCGCAGCCTAAGACGAGGCAGCCATGCCTGCGTGCGACCCATTCAGTTGTTATCAATATCCACACAGAATGTTAGTGTTTTTTTCAACGTCTTGGCCGCAAACCATGCAAACGTCTGAGGGAGTGTTCCACATTTATGTGGGGTGTTGAACTGAACTAGCCATATTAAAGAAATTCTAGTCCTGTTCACAACCATGCTCTTCTTAAGACCTAAGCCCATCTAGTTTCTGAACTCAACGCCCTCAAAAATGGGGGAGAGTATTTCTTGCAGAGCATTTCCAAGCCACATTAGCATTCATGACAACATAATAACGTCATTCAAATAATGTCATTCCATAAGTCATGCAGCGATTCAGGCCAAGAAAAATATAACTGCCGAGGCGTTCATATCTGGCGTTCATGAGCACGATTTTCAAATATAACGGCTGTCAATTGGCTCTCAGTCAATGTTGTGCAGGGTACGGTGGCGCAATCAAACCATGACATGTTAAGAGACATGGTTTCTAAACAGGGAATTGTGCTGTTTAGAGCGCCTTTTCCGCTTAAAAAGTGTACCATATTGATAAGTGAGCTTATTTCATCATATCTGATGCTTGCTTCAGTATCTTCCAGTGTGAAACATTCTCTTTAATAAATGCAAATTGCAAAAATTCGTCGATTAAAATGACAGGTCGGCCGTCAGACAATTTCCAGCAATGTTACTAATCAATCTGCACGTGAGCGTGAGATGAGCGAGCTTTTTTGCCTGCTAAACAGTGATGAAAGACAAATGATGAGATCCATTTGATGGGTTTCAGGGGTGTAGTTTTTTATTCAGTTGGTAGGAAGGAGGGCTTCCAGCCCTTCCAGCCCCCCCCCCCCCCTGACTTCCAGCCCCTCCCCCTTTAGGAAGAAGGTGGGTCAAATCTGAGAGAAATCTGTTTGTTGGCGTATTTTGGCGGGCGGGACGAGTCGTTTTTCACTTTTTAGGCCCCCAAATCGCTTTGTGAAACTACCCCTCCCCCCTGATGGGCTCAGAAGAATTCGCTCGCTTAGTTCAGGGATAGTTTGCATCATGATAATGATCACAGGCACACGTCGTTATCTTGTTCGTTTTATGTCAAATAAGTCGCCCTTCTTTTGCATAATGGCAACAGACAATCCCATAACGGCGCTCTTCGAGACATGCACTCAAAATCTGCGTACTTAAAACAAAACAACAGCTTCTCCTTAATTCCACAGATTCCTGCTATTTACCTTCAACTTATTAAGTCAAAATATTCGGCCAGATTGTCTTACCTCCAGTGCACAAGCTCGCATGGTTTGACTTCAACAACAAAGCCTTGTTTTAATAAACTGGCTGCAGGCCTTGCTGTAAAGGCATAGCATATTATTAATGCAGCTAAAAGGCACAGCATAAAAATAAGCTAGAGGGAGCTGAGCAGTGAAAAAATGATGCAGTCAGCACTCAAAATACGCTAACAAACGGGCTTACCTCGAGCTTTGGCCCACTATCTTCCTCAAGTCGGAGGTGACTGGAGCGTGGGTTGTAGGTTGGGGACTTTGAGCCTCCCCCCCTCCCCCCCCCCCCCCAACTGAAAAGGAAATCATAACCGCGCTCACTGTGACAGGCGGCATCAAAGGCAAAGAGCTATGAGCTGCACAGTCAAATGTAGGCCGCGTATTGCCAGATGATGGTTCCATGCAACCAAAGCCGTCGCTGCCCCGAGCGACGATCCCATGGAATGGCCTGCGGTGAAGCGTGTGGAACTGCGCCGTGGCGGCTTATGGAACGTGAAGCAAATACCGCCATTATAGGGATACACTCTTCCACGCTTTTGTTCTAAGTGAACTGAGCGCTACTACTGAACACTACTGTGATTGTTCGCTTCTATGCTGATCAGAGAAACGTGATCAAACACGCGCCAATAACCAAATTTGAGGCATTTAACAAAAATCAGAAGGGACAGCGACCTTTCGTCCTCTGGCCATCGACGGGTTGTTTCCCACTGCCGACTTCACTGTTCGGCACCAGCCTGACCACAGCGGCAGCGGCAGCGGCAGCGGCAGCGGCAGCGGCAGTCGCAGCGGCAGCAATCGGCCGACGTGCAGCAGCTGTGGACGGTTTTAGATCGGGTCTCCTATGTCGCGTGCTGGAAGCCGAGCTGAGAGACCCGGCTTACGACGGCTGCGGAGACCAGTGACCAAATTCAGGGTGGCCATTATTCGCACACAAATGTGTTATTGAAATAGAATAATCACGTTGATTTTGAATGTGAATCTTGCGCAAGCCACGCGCCCCGTCGGTGAGATGACCGCACCCGACCAGTCGCTCGGCGAGCCTTTTAGGCAATGCCATTTTAGTTTGGGTGTGAACACCATCCACACATGAGCGAAACTCCATACTAGTTTAACTCATGGAGGACGTAAGTTCTAAGGCATTGGTAAAACCAATTTGGATCTAGTGTGATCAGTCTGTAACAAGTTGGATAACAGTTCATATCGTTCACGACTGGCTTCATGCCCTTAGATTCTGGAGGCATGTGCGTAATGATAGCGCATATGTAGGCTATAATCTCGCTAATCCCACCACACAAATGTCTTTTGCTGGTTCTCACTGACTTCCAATCGAAAGAAAACATGTCGATGGCAGCGTTATATTTTATGATAACAAGTTCAACGTCTGCAAGCACCAGCGTGTACTGAACGTGCGTTGATATGTGCCAGGCCAGTGCCTATTTATATGTGTCTCATGAGTGTGTGGTGAATGGCCATGCTGCAGGTGGATTGTGTAGTGGACGTATAGAGCTAGTTTTGTGTCAGTAATAGGAAAACGCAACGCACACAGGCTTCCACAGAGACTCGTATAGCTACATACATATAGCTGCATG